GCTACACAGCCAGAGCTAGTCATGCAGAGCTGAGATCTGACTCTTGGTCTCCAGTGAGACAGATCCAGTACTGAGCATCATACTTGACCCCTGTGTATGATAGCAGACAGATCAGAAGGGCAGAATATCTGGGACTTGAACCAGGTACTTTAATATGGGCTGTTCGAATCCCAAGTAGCAGTTTAGCTTGTTGTGCTGTGATGCCCACCTCAATTTTTTAAAAATCTTCAATAAAATCTTATGGATAAGCAAGGCAACAGATTAAAATATACACAAAAATATTGTGAATATGAGTTAATTACTCAAAACATATTCAATAAAATTGGAAAACAACTATACTCCTTTCTAAAAACCATTCAGGAAAAAATATCATTAATAGCAGAAAGACATTTAGAACAGTTTGTTGTCAATGAAAACATCATTTGCACTATGTTGTATACGATTTAGAGATTAAAAATAAAATTAGAGAACTAGAATAAAGGATTGATAACTATTTGTAAAGCCCCTTTATGGAACATACTTTACTTCTTCTTCTTAATATTTATTTATTTAAAGCAGAAAACAGAGAGAAAGAGAGAGACAGAAAGAGAAACAGTGACAGAGAGACATTTTCTCCATCCACTGGTTCACACTTCAAATGGCCACAAAGGCTGACTGTGTCAGGCTGAAGCCAAGAGCCAGGAACTGCATCCAGACCTCCCACATGGGTCCAGGGACCCAGGCATTTGGGCCATCTTTTGGTGCTTTAGCATTCATTAGCAGGGAGCTAGATCAGCTGTGGAGCAGCCAAGACTTGAACTGTGATTCTGGCATCTCAGGTACCAGCTTGACCCACTGCACCACAACAGCAGCCCTTGATGAGTATCTTTTATTTTGTTATGCATATGGACTTCTTAATCTTGATTTCATTTTTTTTTCAACTTCAAAGACAGACATATTTTTCCAAAGAAGAAGATTGACAGATTTTATCAGTATCAGAAACTTATTTTCAATTGAGAAGAAGCAGAAGTCAAAATGTTTGTCTTTTCCAAGCTTTTCAGAAATTCTGTGTGGGGTAGGGGAGAGAAAGAGAGGGAGAGAGAGTAGTTCAAATAGGCAAGAATAAAATTCTCAGGAAACTACAGTCGCACTCATAATAATAATGAAATTTAGGCAACAGTAAAAAATGACCTTTGAGCTATCAGGAGAGTTGATACACAGAGTTGGAGTTGGTATGTGGAAGACAATACAGACTGCCAGTCAGGTCATAAATGAGCAAGAAACTGACGCAAAGCTGTGGGTGCAGGACTAGTACCATCTCTCAAAAGTTGAACTTAGCCAATCACAAATAAGAAATCAAATAATAAAATAAAATATATGTAATGGATGGAAAGCCAAGACACTCTGGCAAAAGATCTCTGTGAGTGAGATCCCAGTGGAAAGAACAGGTCTTCAAGACCTTTCTCTGAAGGGAGGAGAGAACCTCCACTTTGACTATGACCTTGTCTAAACAAGATAAGAGTCGGAGAACTCAGAGGGCTTCCATAGCCTTGGAAACTCATGACTGGAGCATAGGGAGATTACTGATGCCATAGACAGGAGTGTCAATTGGTAAAGTCAACAACAGGAGTCACTGTGCACTTACTCCTCATGTAGGATCTCTGTCCTTAATGTGCTGTGCATTGAGATTTAATGCTATAATGAGTACTCAAACAATATATTTCACTTTGTGTTTCTATGGGGGTGCAAACTGTTGAAATCTTTACTTAATGCATACTAAACTGATCCTCTGTAAAAAAGAAAAAAAAAAAAAAAAAAGAAATTATCAACTCTCAACTTGACTCTCACTGGGATTAAACATGACAATAGGTCTGATCTGATTTCATCATCATTTAAAAAAAATCATCTATTATTTTTCACTTTATGTTTCTGTGTGGGAGCAAACTGTTGAAATCCTTACTTAATGTATACTAAGCTGATCTTCTGTAGATAAAGAGAATCGAAAATGAATCTTGAAGTGAATGGAAGGGGAGAGGGAGTGGGAAAGGGGAGGGTTGTGGGTGGGAGGGACGGTATGTGGGGGAAGCCATTGTAATCCATAAATCGCACTTTGGAAATTTATATTCATTAAATAAAAGTTAAAAAATATATATGTAATGGAATAATATTGTCATTAAACAGGGTGATTAGCCTCTACTTTCCAAAAGGAATGATTGTTAGTGAGTACAATTAGGTGAATAAGAGATTATAGAAAAAAACACATGAAATCCATTCTTTTTATGAAAATTACTGTGTATAAATCTTTGTACAATAGTAGGAGATTTAATTTTTTGCATATTTAGATGTAGGCTGCACTTATACCAAACCAGAGCTATGAATCCACCTAGTGAATCCATTCAGCTTAGGTAACCAAATCAGAGATCCAAATGGGTTGGGTTTTTTTTTTTTTTTGATGATAAATGCATTTCATTATTTATTTAGATGTTTAAGCTCTCGCACTAAGTTTTTACAAGCTGGTGAACGCTGACAAATTATTCTCCCACAGAACTATAACCACACATTCCCAGACAGTATAAATACATGGTTGAACTAACATTAATACACATCACCATTTTATCAATTACATAATAAAACAAATTATCAAGTATTCAAATATTAAGTTACACAGCTCAAAAGGCATATAAAATATTAGATGTCTGCTCAATTCATTAGCAGAAACCCACTTTTTTTTGCAAGAGGTTGGGAAGGAAAAAAAATCACACTTCAAGCAAAAATAAGTTGGTAAACAACTTTTGATAAGTATGGAAAAAATTACAAGAATTTCAGAAATTTTATGATTAAGAATTTTAAGCTACAATAACAAAGCATCTCTACCTCTTAAAATATTTACTAAATTAAAGAGCATATTCTACATGTTATGCACAAGACAAAGGCAACATTTTACTAAAAATATTTAATAGCCCCCTCCCATTCTTTTCTCAGGCCGTCCCTGTTAAGCTGCACCTCAGAGTGCAAACGTTAAATTAACTGTAAGGCTTTTTTTTGTCTGAAGACATTAAAGACATGTGCTTCTGTACAATGTAGATTTTTCAAAATGGAGGTTTTATATTAACAGCAAAAGATTTATAGAAACATTAAATAATCATAAGACTTGGTAAAAAAAAAAAAAAGAAATCAATGGTTAAGCAAACCTGATGTATACTGGTATGAATGTGGGAGATGTAAACATAAAGTGAGCAGCAAATAACCATATAGTCCCTAGTTCATGTTT